CAAAACGAGGTCCAAAACTCTAGCGCTTTCGAATATTTGACTATTCTTCTTCAGGAGAATGAGTGGTCTTGAAGAAGAATAGTCAACTATTCGAAAAAACTCGAGTTTTGGGTCTCGTTTTGAAAATATTACAGCTTTTGTAGGTGATCCTGTGTGCTAACTACTTAACCTGGATCAATTATCATATAATATTGTTTCAGCTCCCCATGTCGCATATAACTAGAGAAGCTCGTATTATTAATTTTCTTAGCTGGGGGAGTCCCCATTACAGGCCCACTTTCACTGACCACTGAGTAAGGGAATACACATTTGTGATGTAAACATTTACTCTATATTGTTTCGCTGTATTCAAAGAGATGTATTGGGTTGGGGGAGACAAAAACATGCAACAAAGTCTTGACATCATATTTCTGAAAGTTGTATCGTTATTTTACTTGCTCTGTTAACTAGAGCACGTAAAAAAGTTATTGCAAAAAAGACCTGATATCATATTTCAAAAAGTTATAACGACATTTTTCTTGTTTTATTAACTAGGTCACAGAAAAAGTCATTGCAACAAAGACCTGACATTCCATTTCTGCAAGTTATAACGCCATTTTATTTGCTCTGTTAATTAACTAGGTCACGCAAAAAAGTCGTTGACATTTGATGACCTGATGTACTTTATCAAACATTAGTTAGCGTTCTTGGAACAAAAATAAATAATAAATAGGAGCATAATGTCGCACGGTGGAACGGCCTAATTAAGAAGTTTGAAAGATGTAAAAATAATTATGTTTGAATCAGTTTTTTTTTTTTTCGAAAAATACATCACTTTCGAATCACAGCATTCGCCCGTAGTTTACTGTAATTACATATGTGCTGAAAAAGAGACCTAAATATAGATTCAAAATTGGTATGGCTTGTTTATTAGGAAAAAAGAGGCTTCATCTGTATTGCAACGGTCGTCTTCGTGCTAGAGTAAATAAAATAAAATAGTATAAAAATACCGCACAACGGTTTTACTTCAATAATTTTCTAAAAATTGCACAACTAAGTACAAAGCTATAATTTAAAATAACTGTGTAGGCGAATTTTTATGCAATATAAATGTAAAATAGTTATAGTGATTTAGCGGTGGAACGTAGAATTTCGAACAATATATATTTTCCTAACACTGATGTGAAAACTAATTCTATGATGGGCCCCATACTGTATAAGAATGCTTCAGAAACTTTTTGATAATTTGTACCCTGCACATAACACGGAGAGTTCAAATCTGTGCGATACCAACAAATATTCTACGCACTTTTAACTGTGGGTGCGTTATAAGAGTGACAGTTAATCCCTTGCATGGATGATGAGTGATAGGGTGTTGCTAGCTGGCTTCCTTCCCTCTGGCCAGTACTTCAAAATTATGGATGGCGACACATATCCTTAGTAGTATTGCCACAAATATATAACACTTTAGTTATTTGGAATTTTAGCGCAAAGCCTCATAAGAATTGCCTGTGCATAGATAGCCGTTCCCAATTTTGAACTGTTAGATTAGAGGAAAATAAAACTTGTTAACAACACCCACATATCACTTTATCTGACCAAATAGCGGGATTTGTCCGTCACTCTTATAGCACACCCATGGCCCAAAAGTGCAAAGCAAGTGTTTATGCGGGAAAAGGAACGAACCATGAACCTTTTGATTCACAGTTCGGTAACACTAAGTCACACAGGATCCCATAACACGAAGACTATCAGACTTTGGTCACAACTTTGGTAATATACTGCATAGAAGTCGTATTCAAAATCTGAGTCATTATAAACTCCAGCAATGAAAAGTACTGAATATTCAAGTATATTTTTATTGTTAAATCGATAATGCTACTTCCAGTATCTTTTAAGATGTGAATGCATCATAAGTATGCTGGGAGACATTTCAAGTACACACTTTTAACATTTTATCGACATTGTTTTACACACTAACTATTTCGCTAAAAGCTTTAAGAATTGCTAACTCAAAATCATTACTCTGTTTTCAAAAGTTAAAGCCCCCCAGTGGCACAGCGGGATGTCTGCGGACTTACAGCGCTAGAAACCGGGTTTCGATACCCGTGGTGGGCAGAGCACAGATAGCCCATTGTGTAGCTTTGTGCTTAACTACAAACAAACAAACAAAAGTTAAAAGACTTCTAACTCGATTAACTTTTTTATTGTTATATGATGTTCAATGAGTATTCCTAAGTGGTAATTTGAAACAATGTAAAAAAATTTCTGTGGCTGTCAGTTTTTTTGCAGTTCCTCACTTGAGCTGTTTGTTAACTTTTCGGAGGAAAATTTGAATGTTGACCTCACATGTTACAGGCACTTGCGAAGTGTTTCAGTTTTCTTTAACAGTAGAACATATACACTTCTATACCAATTCATATGATTCATGCTAACTTTCTTCATTGATTTAATTTAATAGTATCAACATATTTTAGCTACAATGTTGTGTATCAGCGAAAAGATGGTATTTGTTTGTTTGTTTGTTTG